ACCACACAGTGCTGGGTTCTCTTCATGGCTACACCTGGGTGAAGCCTTAGCATCCTGGGGGTGTCTACTTGGTATGTATTTCTAGAAGAAATAACAATGAGTAATTTGGACTGAAGGCAGAACACCCACACTTTTTATTATATCAGGTGAACAAAATATTATCTTTAATTGAGTTGTCGCCTCACTTCTTTAAATTAATCTTTAGTAAGTAAATCCTATGGGAGAGAAAAAAAAAAGTGAGGTAGAATTGTTACCGTCTGTCCTGGTTTTATTTAACAGTGCAGCACTTGGCCCCACACACATAGGATAGTGTGGTCGTATTCATTTTAAGCAGTAGACAGGAGTTCCCTTAGAGAGCTTCCAGATGTGCTACTCCACGGCCATGCAGTCAGTAAATAAAAATACAACGAAAGTGGAATGCTAATATCTTCTCCACAAATATTCAAAGATTTAGAGGTCTGCTGATAAAAATAAGCTGCTGCTTCAATTGCTGCCATATTGTCAAAGTTGACCCATCTTTGGGTTGCCATCAGGTAAGAATTTCAAAAGAGCAAAGGAAAAATGATTTGTGAGCTAAGGAATAAAACTGTCAAATTTTTTTCTTGTTTAGAACACTTTGATATTTTCCTGGTTCCCAGAACACTGCCAATTTGAGAATAACCTGGCATCTGGGACCTAAAAGCTGCCATATTTTTCTGAATTTTCTCATGTCATCTACTAATTTGACTTTTAAATCATGGCAGTGAATAAGTATTTTAAATCCTGTGTCAGAGACTTCATTCCTGGAATATAAAACTGCAAATTCTGAAGCCTGATATCTGAAGCTCTCACACTGTTCTACACAAGTGGATACTGATGACACTGGAAGTATAGAAAGGAATTGGATATAAAATTACGGTCGCACATGAGTTTTAATAATTTTAAAAACATCTAGTCCAACATACCTCATAATTTCTGATTGCTTTATATGTGATTCATATTAAATGATCTCCATACACCTACTTCAATGCTTCTACTCCTGTGTCCTCATAAACCACCAGTCTGTCTCAAGACAACCCCACAAAAAAGCACTCATAAAAACCTGTACTTTGGGGAGATTTTCAAGTAATTATCTAATTTCCAAGACTGCCAAAATACTCTGACCAAGGGACCAATGTCCCTGAATCTCATTCATGCCTCCCACCATGATGCTTAACATTATGTTTAAGGCCCTGAATGACAGATATCCACATAATTTCATTTTACTGATAATCTGAACTGTCACTTTCTAATAACTCATAGCTCTCCTATCTCAATATTGGATAGAATATAAACACACTTGGTCTTCACATTTTGCATTTAATGGCAACAGTACTTCATAGAAATTAGAGTTGCACTTGCATTATTTGTCCTTATAGTAACAATTTTAGATCTCAAATTTCCCCTAGGATCGTGGCTGATGGCATCATGAATGCACACAGTCCAGCTCCCTGAAACCAGGACTTGGTTCTTGCAAAGTCTGCACATTTAGACCAATGCTCTAATGAATCTTCTCCTTGTGAAAATTCCTCTCAACAGGCTGACTCACCCAAGCGTACTAGAAGAGAACACTTTTAACTCTATTATTTCCCGTTTTCTTTCCCTCCCTTCCTTCCTTCTTTGGTCCCTCCCTACTTCCCTCTTTCTTCCTCCCCCTTTTCACTTCCTTCCTTCTTACCTTTCTTTTTCTTTCATTTTTTTTCCCTAATGAAATGTCATTTGTATGCTGTCACATGGATGAAGAAGCATCATTACAAGTGGTGGTTAAGTTTGCTGACTGCCCACAAAGTCCTCCCTTAACCATAATTTGGCTGACCTACAGTTTTTAATGGTTAAGCACTGACCATGCAATATATTCTTTGAAAGTCTGAAAAAACTGATACCACAATAAAAATTCTTAATGTAGTAATGCATAAAATGAAAAAATATGAGTTGCAATTTTTTAAAAATGTTTTTTAAACAATTGATACATTTTTAAATAAGACTAAGTAGTAAGGAACAGGGTAGCCATTTATAAGAATTTTTGAATGTTTAAAGTTCATAGATCACAATTCATTAAAATCATTATATACACAATGTGTTGGGTGTATTTAACACATATCTTTATCAGTTAAACATTGTAATAAACTACTTTGTAATTAGTATTATCCCTATTTTACGGAGAAAATACTGAGATTGAAAGAGATAGAAAAAAAAAAAAGAAAGAGATGATAGATTTTGTCTGAATCACAAAATAAAATTTGAGAGAACCAGAATTTAAATCACTGTCAGTTCAAATTTAAAGTTTTAATCAGTATATTATATAGACAATTATTAGGTTTACTTTGCAAATAAAATTATTTTGGAAATTGATATACACTTTTCAAATTTTACTTTACCTCAACACTAAAACCTTCACATACACTAAACTTGGAAGTCAGATACACTAGGGTCTGAATCTTACTCTGCTACTTCTTGGCTGTGTGTGTGTGTGTGTGTGTGTGTGTGTGTGAGTGTGTGTGTGTGAGTGTGAGTGATCAGTTGTGTCCGACTCTTTGCGACCCTATAGACTGTAGCTCTCCAGGCTCTTCTGTCCATGCGACTTTCCAGGCAAGAATACTGGAGTAGTTTAGCCTTTTTCTACTCCAGGGGATCTTCCCAACCCAGGGACTGAACCCACGTCTCAAGTCTCCTCCATTGGCAGGTGAATTCTTTACCACTGCGCCACCTCCTGAGCAAATGACTTAATTACTATGAGGAGTTTACTATAAGTAGAGTGGAAGCAAAAACACCATAGTCTCTGAGATAATAAAGTAATGTGTAGAAATGGGTTAATATCTGTGAAATCTGGCAAACTGCATGACTCAGATTGCCAAACGTCAAAAAACAACCATTCCCTTCCCCTGCACAATATCCCCCTCTTGGCTTCCACAGGCACACAAAAAGGTTTTTAAATTCTCAGAATGATCTGACTGAAAACAGGCACTCTTGTCTAGATGTCTACATTCTTTCTCTGACATGGCTTTTGACTTAGAATGTTCCAAATCACAAATCCCCTGATGGAGAACTTCTATGAGTGGTGCCCTGTCCATCCAGGGTCACCCTACACTGCATCTCTGATTCTCACAATCACAATCTGCTCCTCGCCCTGGGATGACCTTTGTGTGATGCACCATCTTGTGCAGCAAGTTTTATAGTGACGGATGCCTTAGCAGCCAGATTCCTGGGTCTGCTTTCTCCTCCCCCAGATGATCTCCACAAAGACTCTGTTTCTGGGAGTGCCTAGAATTGACTGCACATATCCAGCAACTGCAGAGGAGAGCTGAGTCTGCGGGGTTTTCATAATAAAATCTCGCCTCTAAATATCTGACCCTCTACTAGTTTGCACTCCTCTTTATCCTTCTCTTCTCCAGATGACTCTTGAAATACCAGATTGACCTGAGCCATGTGGCAGCGACTGCATTTGTCACCTGAGAATGTTTATCTCCTGACAGAGAAGTACTGCCTACACATATAAGGAAACATGTTTCAGATCAACTTGGTTTAAGTTTTATATGGTTATCACACTACATTCTGCTCATCATGGCCTGGGATTTTATAGTTTGCATGAAATGTAACACAGTCATTCACATAGATTTGAAAAAAAAAAATACCAAGAATCATGCTTTCTTTCACAAAGCAATAGTCTAAGATGATTACATTCCCAAAAGTAAATGGCAAATAATACAGACAGAGCCATCTTGATAAATAAGCAATGGCACTATCATTCACATACTTAACATAAATTTATAATTAATCTTCAAATCTCCTTTTTTATGAAGCGGTGACATGAAATTGTATACTCTGAAATTGGTCACAAATAACAAAAATATCACTCAATTATATTCATCAAAAACATTTCAACCACAGTAAACACAACTCATTTGAAAATTCAGAATAATTCTCCTATAGCAGTAGCCACACATCTATATAAATATCCATATACCAAAAATGTCAGTCCTTTGAGGTTCCAACAAATCTGCCTGGTCTTAAAACAATTTCAACAAATTAATAAAGAGATGTCAACATTACTAACTTCGTCAATAATTAAAATAGCAAGTTTTAACAATTTTTATAAATGAATGTTACATAGGGACAATGCTTCATAATTCCCTGAGACTTTTGAAGATCAATGATTCATTCATTCATTCGTTTATTCAACACATATTTAAGCACGTCTACTTTCTTCAAGGCACGGAGGTGCTTTAACAAATTTTAGTTGTTTCAGCTTTGAATTAGAAGTGTAAAACAAAATAGTGGTTAACAGTAATGTTACTTTTTGAATAGACTGTATTTTATACTACTTGCTCTATGATTTTATGCAATTACTGTTTCCAAACAGTGAGAGCTAATGTATACTGCTTTTCCTTCTCCCTGTGGTAGTTTTTTTTTAACATTTTTATTTATTTATTTTTTCATTTATTTTTATTAGATGGAGGCTAATAACTTTACAATATTGTAGTGGTTTTTTACACTGCTACTCAGTGAGAAGCCAGGCTCTCACTGACACCCTTTTGGAGTTCTGTGGGGCTTCATCAGATGCTTATTATATCTACTTATGATTTTGCAGAACCTACAGGACTCATGAAGTAGAACTCTGGACCCACTCTCTTATCTCCATGACCAGTTAGAACCATCTGAATGTTTTCAAAGCTAAGGTACTTGAAATGTCCACAGTCAAGGGGTATAGAGTCACCCCCAGAGATACTGGGTCAGCCTACCAGGCAAGGATATATTGTGTCTTATAGGAATAGAGCTTTGTTTGTAATGTGCTTAAACCCTTCCCACTGACATATAAATGTCATAAAGTGATATATGGTCTATAAAATGATGTGGATACAACTGAAGTTCCAAGCATTAGTAAATTTCAAAAGACATTTAGTTTAGTGGTAGATAAACGTACTTCCATTTATATGTATTATGAAGAAAATTTTCACTGTCGAACCAGGTTATTACAGATTTACCTGAATCTGTAGCTGTGATCAGCAAGACAAAATGTTCCTTTGTTTCACGGTCCAAACTCTGTGTTACTCGAAGTTCTCCATTAGCTGAGAGAGTAAAAGCATTGTCGTCATTACCACCGAATAGAACATACGAGAGTTTGCTGTTGGAACCTTGATCATCATCTCTTGCCACCACCTACAGGAGAAAATAATACAGGCCATGAATGTGAGTAATACTCACAAAATGTATATCATGAAATAAAGTATTAAAAATAAGCATCATTATTAAAAATAAGTATATTATTGAAAATAATAGGGTAGAGCCATACAGACCAATATTAAAAGGTTTCAGAGACATGTCTGTAAGTTTTAGGTAAAATATGAAAATGGCACAGAGTACAATATATAATTTGTATAAAACCGGGTATAAAATCAACACATGGCATTTGTGGAAGACTCCACAAAAAATCTTTCAATAGCAGATTCATCCAGGTAGTTGGATTTGTAAAGAGGGAATGAAGAGCAACGTTTGTAAAAGTTTTCAAACTTTAACATCATTTTATTTTCTTAGAATAACTGTTACAGTGAAACAAAATTCAAAAATGCACAAGTGCAGAAATGTGTGCAGCAGAGGTAAACACAAAAGGATATAATTGAAAGACAATATTTCATCTACAAGGAAATCAACAGGTCCTTAGGTGTAATTTTCACAAACCTGTCCTTTTCAAGATCTGCTGTATCAGCAAGTAAGCGTTTTTGGACAAGAATGATGAAGAGAGTGGGGTAGCATGACCACTGTAACTAAATGGATTGTCTTACAATGAGCACAATATTTGTTTGATTTAAATATTCTTACCTGAAGAACTGTTCTGGGTAATGTTCCCAGATTCTCAGGGACATTTACAGAATATGGAGATAGCTCAAATATGGGGACAAAATCATTAACATCCAGTAGAACAATGCGGACGGTAGAGGTATCAGTTCTGGGGGTGCTGCCCCGATCTGTTGCCTGAACAGTTAAAGAGTAAGTAGGTGTCTTCTCGCGATCCAAAGGCTTAGCCACGGTGATTGCCCCTGTGACTGAGTCGATCCGAAATTCCTGATTGGCATTACCATCAACAATGCCATAGCGGACCTGTCCATTTGTACCTTCATCTCCATCTGCCGCGAATACTTGTATTATATCCGTTCCAGTAAGTGTATTTTCATTAATCTCCACTTTATACATGGCCTGTTCAAAAACAGGGTTATTATCGTTGATGTCAAGTACCATAACTACCACCTCTGTAGATGAAGACAGAGATGGGTGACCTTTGTCCGTAGCCACCACCGTGAGCGTATAATTGGAAACCTCCTCTCTGTCTAGCTCTCCAGTGAGCCTTACTTCTCCATCGATGGTCCCGATAGTGAACTTATTTCCCGAAGGGTTCAGTAGGGTGTATTCAATGTAGCAGTTTGGGCCGCTGTCTGGGTCAGTTGCTTGTGCTTTGAAAACAATGGTATCAATAGGTGTATTTTCTGGAATGTAGGTCAATTTAGGGGAAAGAAAGGTTGGGGGGTTATCATTGACATCCAGCAAAATAATGGAGATTTGAGCAGTGCTTGTGAACCTGGAGGCTGGGAGCTGTGGCAGGTCATGCACTTGAACAACCAGATTGTAGAAGGACTGACTCTCCCGGTCCAAAGGTTTTAGAACTTTCAATACCCCATTCTTGTCAACTGTAAACTGCCCAAGGCTATCACCAGAAGCAATGCTGTAAGCCAACTGGGAGTTAATGCCTGAAATGGAAGGGGAAAAAAATTAAATTTTCTGAACTAAATGCTGATTGCAAACTAAACTGCACCAAAAAATTCATGATATGAACATGTGTATTTGATACACATGGCCTCCAAACACACCTTATGAATGATTAAGCCACAGTTAATTTTCTTTCCAAGGAATACATAACCCATAACTCTTTTCTTGGTATCATTTGATTTAAAAAGATGTTTACAATCTGGTGAACAAATGATCTATATATACTGCTGGCTATTTACCAAGGCGTTGAAATGGTAAATTACGAAAGTAAAGAGGAAAAAAATATACTAGAGAGCGGATATTTTTCTATACATTTCTTTATTGCTGTCACATAATTCCTGAGAGTTCAACATTAACAGTGTCACACTCTACTACTAGCCAAACATTTATCACATTAGTAATTTATTGAGGCCAACACCAATTTTCAAAGAATCATAATAAAATTTTCTGATATATGGCATTAGTCATGGATGCTTTAAGTCTACTTTTACATTTCTTGGCAGAACCAATAAATACTTTTTAATTCTTATTAAGTGTCTGGCTAATACCTCTGAGAAAATAATTCTCTTTCAAATTTTATTATGTTTATTTATTGTGGTTTAAAAGTATTTTTGAAGGAAATGTTAGCAGTAAATGTATGCACAAAAGACTCCAAATATAAAGATTCACACTACTATTGGGCTATTTTTAGATAATGTTTTATCAGTTTTTCCCAGGAACATATGTCACATTTTAATTTAAAAAGGCATATATAAATCATTTCAGAAAATGATTGTAGACATTCTTCTAACAGAGATGATGTGGAGAATCGCTCAGCCTATTCATTAGTTTAGTAAATCATTTAAAGCTAAATTACAGATAAGCAGTGCAAACACAAAGAAAAATTATATTTCCTGCCCCAGAATAGCATTTTCTTCACTGGTCCATAATGTCATGTGTATTTATATGTTTTATCATAAACATGCTGGGCAATTATAGGATCACCTAAGAATTTCTAAGAAACATATCTTATACCTAGATAATCCATTCTTAATAAAGATACTGTACTCTGGGATCTTATGCTATGGAAAATCCATTGAGTTACATAAACTACTTACAAATGGCTCCTTTATTTATGAACTTTAACTATTCAGGTGTCAAAAATAATGTCCACTCTTAGCCAAAAGTCTTCGAGAACAAGCTGATCACCCTTTTCTTGAAAAATACTCTTTCTTAGAATTCTGTAGATACTTCAGTTAGCTTCTGCCTTTTCTTGAAACCCCTTAAGTCCTTGTAAAGGTAAGTTTTAGTTGAGTAATACAGTTTTCTTTTCTACCAGTTAATGCCTGCTTATTTGGTTTTTTTGTTGTTTGTTTGTTTTTAATGCTAGAATTATTATTTTCCCATGCTTTGATAGTCTCTTATCTAAGAGTCTTTGTCTATATGTTGATGCAGAGGAAACTATTTATGGAGATAACTTTCAGGCACTGGCTTATTCACAAAAATTTCTAGGATAAACAAGGATTGAGTAGATCTTTGAAAAGGTAGAGGTTTTCTCCTCATTAAGAGTTGTGGCTTTTAATCTTTGCAGTTTATTTAAGACCATTCACAAGAGAACAAAGCAGAGGTTATAAAGTTCAAAATACTTAGGACACTGAGGATCAGGAAAAATATGAATAAATAAAGCTAATGGAGGTCACAGGTCAATTTACCAGCAGGAGATAAAGAGAATTTTAAGATCTGGATAGAACAAGGTCAACAGCCTTCTTCAACTCTCTGACTTAAAATTCCACAGGTTTGGGGGAAGAAAAGTTCTATCAACTGATGCAGAAAAAAGAAAAAGTTTTCATCTACTGGTACCAAATATGGATATATTACTGAGAAAGTAATTTGATTGAGAAAGTAATTTGATTTTAAATACATATATATACACACATATATTATAATGATATATATTTAATATATTTTTAAATAGAATTACTCTCTTAGGAATTTCTTTTGCATTTCCTATGGCTAACTCTGTCAGTAAATATTTAATTCCTATTCTTTGAGGTACAAATTCAGACACAATTATTATTGAGAAAAAGTTATGAAGACACCTGGATAAAAATAATACCAATAAGCAGAGATATGTTTCTATGTAAGCATATAGACCTTTCATGCCCAAGATCAAAAGAAATTTAAAATACTGACAAAACTACACATGGCTACAAAGTGATGGCTTAACATTTCTACATAAATCAACTGGAAGGCAAGCAATTAAATCTAGGATTGGAACACCCCTGGTCCACTGTGTATGCTACTTCCTGGAGTAAACAATTAACTTGCAGAGGCAAAAAAAGAACATGATACCAAGATTTTATAGCCTTGTCGTAAATGGCAGGACAGCCTCCTTTTTAGGGAGAAAGTTTGCTGGGTAGGTGGGTTTTGGAAGTAATAAATATTAACTAGAATTATGAAAAAGATAAAAATGATTTATATTTAAATTCATAATGATGAATATATCAGATGATAACATTAAAAATGAACTGGTAATGATAAGTCATTATCTTTGAGAACATAAACATAGAAATACAACTGGTTTTGCACAAAATATTGCAGCACAATCTAAGAAATAGCTTTCATCTCAGGAACTGAAACTGTATTGCTGCAATTACAGGTCATGGAAACTATCTCTATGGACTTTACTGTCAAGAAAAGGATTTTTCAATCCTGTCATGTCTAAGTGACTTTGGGCATGTGCTCTACATCTAGAAAATACATGTAGACATACTGAAACTCAAAATTCTCCCTGAACCTTTATACTATCCTAAAAAATAGAGTTCAGGCCATTCTTCTCTCTCTACTCCTTGCATCAAATATCCCAATCATGAATCAGTAAGCATATTATTTTAACATTCTATAATTTATTCATATGTGCTAGAACTTGAATTTAGTGGGCTTTTACAGCCCCCAGATCTTTAAGCTACGAATAGTCCATATTTCTAACCATTTATGTTCAGTGTTCTGAAAGTGGTTTAGTTACATGATTCTTTCTGGCAGTTTTATTGTGTGTGTGGTTGTGTTAGTTTTTTTTTTTTTTTTGGTTGATTTTTATTTCAGTCTTGAGAATAATTTAGTTCCAGGAAATACAGCACATAACTGTAGGTATGTGGCTCTGTTACAAAATGTGCATATTTATTCACAGTCCATAAATGCCTAATTATTTCTATGATGAACTAGTATTTGTCAATTTATCATAGAATTGCAACACATGGAACTCTTGCAAACAACATTCACTTTTATGAAGCAGTTCCAATAAGGTCATCAGGTCACTGGAATATGAAGCTCATTTACAGGTCAATTGATCTGCATTGTGTACCAAGCATATATCAGTAAATTTATTCAACAATAATTATAATTACTTTATTCTCAAAGTACTCTATGACTCCCCAATATTTTTAAGAGTATAGGAATTTATTTCTAGGATAACATAGTAATTATCAAAGTTAGACTATTTCCATGAAACTTCAATTTATAATGTGTGCGCTCAGTTGCTCAGTCCTATCTGACTCTTTGCAACTCCATGGACTGTAGCTTGCCAGGCTCCTCTTTCCATCCACGGAATTTTCCATGCAATACTGGAGTGGGTTCCCATTTCCATTTCCAAGGGATCTTCCCAACCCAGGGATCTAACCCACGTCTCTTGTGTCTCCTGCATTGGCAGACAGGTTCTGTACCCCTAGCACCCACCATACTTTGCCTCAATATAATACTTTCTTAGCTGTATGAATGAAAGCCTTGAGATGAATACATGTGCTACTTATCTTGTGAACACAGTAAAATATTTGCTTTATTCTTATTAAATGGTTATGCAATCTAAAATTTTAGGTTAAACTCAGAGAATTTAGATGTAAGTAACAGAAACTGTTAAATTTATTTTTGTATAAACTGTCTTCATTTAAAATGACAATATTATCTCATCTGAAAGCTCTTGGTCAGAGATTAAAACTAAATTGTTAATAGAAAAGTCTAAATAATATTGTGAAACATGTTGGGAGCTATTTAGTATAACTGAGTTGGCAGTTTTAAATAAAGAAGGTTACCCTTGTACAGTCTTATCATGATCCTTGAAATTCAGACAGAATAGAAACTGTGTCCTATATTTTAGGTCAAGGTGCAGGAAATTACACTGATAAAAGTATTCACAACTAAAACAATGGAAAAATGTAGCTTGAAACTTTTATCTAACACAATTAAAGGAAAAAAATCCATAAAAAGTAACTTGGAAGTCAATGGTTAATACATTTCTGTGAATATGCTTGCATGGAATATTCCAGCAGGTTTCCCAAAGGAAGTTTCTTATTTGCTATTTTCTCAGTTCTCTACAGTTGAGTTTTGAGGATAAATGGAATTTACTCTAGACCTGCACACAATCCTATGATACAATAGGCTCTCTCTAATGTTTAAAGTCACAAAGAAACTTGGCAGATAATTCTTCACTGCAGAAAAGTTAGGACAAATTAAAAAATGCTCATATCCAGAGATCAGGTAAATTAATTAAATTTATAATAATAGATAAGCCAACATTCAAAATAAAGATTAACCTCAATTGTGCATAAAGTCTAATGGGAGACAGATACATGTACAGAACTAGGCTGATGTACATGAAATAGACTGTGCAACATTCTTAGGCCAGGACTGGCTACATACTAGGGACAAGTGGTCCGTCATATTTGCTGGTCCCACATCCAAGGATTCAACCAACATAGACGGAAAATATTTTGAGGGAAAAAATTCCAGAAAGTTCCAAATTTCAAGCAAAACTTAAATCTTCTGTGCTCTGGAAACTATTTATATAGCATTTATATTGTAGTAGGTATTGTAAGTAATCTAGAGATGATTTAAAGTAAATGCGTGAATGTGCATGGGTTGTATGCAAATATTACACTATTTTATATAAAGGACTTGAGCATCTTGGATTTTGGTATTAATGAGGCTTCCCTAAGTGGCTCAGAGGATACAGAATCTCCCTGCAATGCAGAAGACTGGGGTTTGATCCCTGGGTCAGGAAAATCCCCTGGAGAAGGGAACAGCTACCAACTCCAGTATTCTTGCCTGGAGAATCTCATGGACAGAGGAGCCTGGCAGCTACAGTCCATTGGGTCACAAAGAGTCAGACATTACTGAGCGACTAACACTTTCTCTTCACTAACTTTCCAGAGGTCCTGGAACCAATCCCCTGCTGATACAAGGGATGACTGTACTTGACAACTGTCAGTTGTTGTTTTTAGTATTATTAGCAACTTGTGGTACTAACATTACAGGCACTTCTATTTTAGGAATATTTATGTATTCATTATTAACTATGCTTAAATAAGAGAGGAAAACTTCAAAATGCACTTAATGAATTCTAAAGAAAGCATTTCCTACTTAATGAAGTGAAAGGTACATAAAAATACTGTGCTCTTTGCCTCTCATATCTTTGTAAGTGGCAATTCTAGACACTCCTGCAAGGAAACTAAGTATAGAGCAGAATGGGATGAATGGTACTCTGAGATTACATAAATCATTTAAGTCAGCAAGAACCAGGAAATTCTAAATTAAGGTTGATATGCCTATGCCACGAGGCATATCCTTGGGCTAGAGACCAGTTTCCTCTTAAAATACTGTCCCTTGTTTTCTTAACTAAATGAACATTTAGCTGCATCCAATGGAAGGAAAAACAAGGTATTAACTTTCCTAACAAAGATTGACAATCTGTACAATGTTATCGCTAAAGGCTATATTATCTGGTATGTGTATTTACAAAATAAGTCTTAAAGAAAGACCAAGGGAGTCATACTTTAAATTTTTTCAAATAAATAAAAATCAAACAAATATCAAACACTGTAAAGTCTAGATTTAATTTAAAATCTCAACTAGAATATATAGCATAAAAATTAAAGAGATCTGAGACCATCCTTTGAGTTAAAGCATGAAAGCTTGCTGAGATACTCTGAGCCATTTTCAGTCAGAAATATAAAACTAATCATGCATTCTGAAGTATTTTTTGAGACTTGGTTTTCCTTTAGCATCCACATTTTATCCTTTTTATGTTAAAAGAATATATGTAAGCAAATAGTTATCTAAAGAAAACCTACCAAAAAGCTGCTGTATGACTTCTAAACTGCAGTGGTGTCACACATTTAGAGAGAATAAAGGAAGATAAACTTATAAAGCTTATAAGATGCACACAGTGTATGCTGTGTAACTGTTACAAATAAGAACTTAACTAATAAAATCCCTAGTCTTTTAATCCTCTATAGTTAAATTATAAATCTATTCCTCAACTTTGGATCTATATTTACAAAATGCAATTTTGTGACAGCTGCACACAGTAAATAAATATGATATAAATCGAATGGTTAATGTTTAATAAACTTTAAGTAGGTAAAATAAAGTACATACCATCATCTGCATCGGTAACATTCAACACAAGAACAGTAGATCCTAGAGGTAGATTCTCCATTAAAGATGTGCTGTATGAATTCAAGCTGAAAATGGGTGGGTTATCATTTACATCTAGTATGTTGAAGTAAACCCTGATGGTAGTAAATTGTCCCCCGCCGTCTTCAGCCCGAACAGTGAGGATATAATATTGCTGTGCTTCATAATCCAACATTCGAGTCAAATTAAAGACTCCAGTAACTGGATTCAGGAAAAATATGCCATCTTCATCATCTTCATTCACAATATATGTAATTTCTCCATTCACACCAGAGTCATCATCTGTAGCTAAAATAGCTGCTACCAAAGAACCTAGAATAAATTGAGAATCCAAAATTAATGGAACAGGGTATTGCTAAGAGACTATATATGATACCAAAACATTTATTTGTATAGTAAAATATTTTAACTAGAAAATCACTATGAAAATATAATGAAAACAACACTCTGTAGATTTCTACACTAACATGGATGCCAACATCCCCAAATATCCAGTACATCTTATGTGTGTGTGTGCACGTTCAGTCACTCAGTCATGTCTGACTCCTTGCAACCTCATGGACTGTAGTCCACCAGGCTCCTCTATCCATGGAATTTTCCTGGCAAAAATACTGGAGTGGGTTTACATTTCCTAGTCCAGGAGATCTTCCCAACCCAGGGACTGAACCTGTCTCTGGAGTCTCCTGCATTGACAGGTGTACCCTTTATCACTGTGCCACCTTGGAAGCCAGTAGATCTTATGTTGCAATGTAAATGTTCTGGGAAATGAACACAACTTCTGACATTATTTTTCTATCTACCAATTCATGAACATATTGATGAATTCAGTGAACATATATTGGGGCCCACTGCTAGTGTCAGGAACTGGCAATTCCAAGCAATAATACAGAATTATGCTAAGAGGATACCACTTAACAGCTTGTATGACCATTGCTAGAAATGACGTGAGAAAGAAATGTGATGGGAAGTTCATGAAGGGCATGAACAACTCATCTTGGTGAACTAACTGCAGTGAGATTTTAGTCCTCTATAAATGATTCATTCCTTTGTCAAATGAGTTTCTAAAACATGCCTTATCTTGCAAACTCATTCAAATATAATTCAAAATACAACTTCAGTTTTAGATAAAAATTTCTAATAGTGGAAATGAAGCCAACCCACACCAGAAACAGGGGTATTGAGTACTCACATGCAACAGTCACAACATGATATATTCAAAGAAGCAAGGTGAGAATTCAGGATTCCTATTCTACTAACATTTATTCAGCATCTGCTAATCCTCAAGCCCCATGTTAGCAAACTCATACATGTTTTATCCTACTTCTAACAAGAATTATTGTCTCCATATACAGAAGAAGGAATTGAAGCTAAGAAAAATTAATTAATTGCCCTGATTCACACAGCTACTAAGTATTATAACGGGTATTCACAGGTTTTCCTGTGCTTTTTTTGCTTTCTTTGCTCAGAAACATAATCACATCAGACATCCTTACAGTGGAAAAACAGTATCAAAACTGTGGTTGCCAGGAAACTTAACAATGCATGTCACAGATACTTTCAGAAACAAACATCTGTAATTAAGAAATCAGATGATTAGCTTATCTCATTTGCTCTCAAAAGTCTAGAAATTTGTTTGGGAACTGCAGCAAAGATGGTCAATTAAAATAGTTAAAAAATCCAATGCTTATACCCAGTAGCACATACTAGTCACAATTTAAGAGCAGCCAAAACCTATTCCGTGTAACTGTAGTCAAAGGTGACCTGTGCAAAATATACCTAGGAGTGTGCCACCTACCTGGGGTTGTGTCTTCTGGGATGTCAAAAGAGTACACAGGCCTGGAGAACTTGGGTGTGTGGTCATTCACATCACTGACAGTAATATTTATTCTCATATCTGACGACTGAAGACCATCATCCGCACGAACCAGCAAGGAATATTTGGAACGACGTTCTCTGTCCAGTCTCTTGGTAGCTATCAGATCTCCAGATTCAGGGTCAATTCGGAAACTGTCATCGGCTCCACTGATGATTGTATATGTGACAAGAGCATTTGCACCCTACGGAAAAGAGAGCAGAATCAGAACTGCTAGAAGTGGAACAGTAAAAGTGCCGCTCCTTGTGCTGAATGTATACTTGACAAAGTGAGGCTCTGGGGTTTAATTTCATGTGATATTCAAATAGTACCAATCCAGTGTGGTTAACTAAGTAGTCTTTCACTATTCATTTCATTAAATAACACAGTGAATCTCAACCTTCAAAATGTGTGTGTACGTGTGCGCTCTATGCATGCTCAGTCGTGTCCGACTCTGCAACCCCATGGACCGCAGCCCACCAGGGTCCTCTGTGATTTTTCAGGCAAGAACACTGGAGTGGGTAGCCGTTTCCTCCTCCAGGGAATCTTCCCGACTCAGGGATCAAACCAGCGTCTCCTGTGTCTCCTGCATTGGCAGGTGGATTCTTTAAGACTTGAGTCACCTGGGAAGTCCATATATGTGTGTGCATGTGAGGGAATGGTAACCCACTCCAGTATTCTAGCTTGGAGAATCCCATGGACAGAGGAGGCTGGCTGGCTATGGTCTATAGGGTCACTAAATGTTGGACATGATTGAGCAACTAATCACAGCACACATGTGTGCGTGCACACACACACACACACACATAAATTCTTAAAATATATCATAGAAAGGGGTCAAACTGTCACTGTGGAAAACACAAATGATGATAATACTACTAACTACATATCCATAGGTTTGCCAGGCCCAGGGACAGCACTGTGGATGCATTATCTTGGTTTAGTTCATGCTCTGTGAGATACTATTTCTCAAAAGAAGATGCGAAGTATGGAGATGGTCCTTAATGTACCCAGAGTCATACTGGGGGTGAGTGGATTTCAAACCCTAGTCTGTCTGACTCTGAGCTCATGTTCTTCTGGTTCAGCCTGAGGAGGTAATTAAGCAAGCTCTAAATGGAAGCTTGGACTTCCCTGGAGCTCAAAAGAATCCGCCTGCAATGCAGGAGAACTGGGCTCAACCCCGGGTTGGAAAGATCCCCTGGAGGAGGGCATGACAACCCACTCCAGCATTCTTGCTTTGAGAATTCCCACAGCAGAGGAGCCTGATCAACTCCAGCCCATGGGGTTGCAGAGAGCCGGACATAACTGAACGCCTAAGCACAGCACAGCACAAATGGAAGCTTACAATATGCACTATAAGAACCAAAGAGAGGGATTACTTTGACCAGTTTGCTAATGTGAAGAGATTTGCATGCTTAATGAATTAACTAATTTATGTCTTTTATATACTTTTGGTTGCACTGGGTCTTCGTTGCTTTATGCAGCCTTTCTGTAGCTGCAGCAGATGAGGGCTACTCTTTGATGCAGTGCGCGGGCATCTCATTGTGGTGGCTTCTCCTGTTGTGGAGCACAGCTTCCAGGCCCACGGACTTCAGGAGTTGCGGAACATGGGCTCAGTAGTTGTGCTTTGCGGGCTCTAGGGTTTGGACTCAGTAGCCTGTGGTGCACGGGCTTACTTGCTCCATGGCATGTGAAATCCTCCTGGACCAGGGATTGAACCCATGTTCCCTGCATAGGCAGGTAGATTCTTATCCACTGGACCACCTGGGAAGTCCAGTGTGCAGAGTTTCAACGTAGAACAAAAGAAGAAAAATTGAGCTAAAATATTAGATTATGGGTATAGATTGGAGAGGGGCTTAGCTGGTAAGGAACCCACCTGCAATGCAGGAGACCCTGGTTTGATCCCGCATCGGGGAGTTCCCCTGGAGAAGAGCGTGGGAACCCACTTCAGTATTTTTGGGTTTCCCTGGTGGCTCAGATAGTAAAGAATCTGCCTGCAACGTGCCTGCACTTGGGCTGGAAAGATCCCCTGGAGGAAGGCAAGGCAATCCACTCCAATATTCTTGCCTGGAGAATCCCCATGGACAGAGGAGCCTGGCGGGCTATAGTCCATGGGGTCGCAAAGAGCTGGACACGACTGAGCGACTAAACACAGCACAGCACATACACGGGAGAATCTCAGTTACAACACACATCGAACCGTATGACCAAGAAACCACTGATCTCGTTTTAATTGGAAACAGTCTTTTAAGGCTCTTGATGGTATAGGATGGACTAGAAAGAAGAGAGGCCAGAGAAGGGGTGAGAGAGTAGATTCTGGCCCCAGGATACTGGGACTTCATTTCCTCAAGGGGAAACTCTTATATAATCTGCATTATTTTCTGGTTCCAAGTCCCTGTTCTGTAAAATGAAAGCAGGGATGCATTCTTGTGTTCACTCAGATCTTTGAACTGTAGCACTCTAGATCTGAAGTATAAACTAGGAATTTGGCTGAAGGACTGGAAAAGAAAAATAGAACACTTATTAAGTGTTTATTAAGTGCTAAGCACTGCTCTGAGAGCATCACTTCATGGGCACTAATTGATTTGATACCTAAAGGCAATCCAGTTGGGTAAGCACTATTATTATCCCCATTTTGAAGATAAAGAAACTGAGACAAGGAAATCTGAACCCTGGTTATCTTGCCCTAGAAGTGAGACTCCCAATCACTGTGCAACAAACATAATACACACAGAACAAATTAGTAAGGTCTGATGGGTTATTGGATACAGAAGTAAGCTAATGATAGCTCTCAGTTGTTCAACATTCTCTTTTATTCTTGTTTCTTTCTTTTATCAACTCTATGTAATAGGCATAAAAGTGAAAGAGATAGAAAAAAATTGATTTCAAATTACTTTGGCTGGGAATTAGGAGAATGTTCTTGCTGAATACATCTCAGGATAAGATCTGCTTGGACACAGGAGACATTATGCATTGAAATTTTATAATTTTATGTATGGTATGTTAAGAGAGTGAAGGATAGCTTCATGGAAATGGTTATGTTGCAATGGTTATAACCATAGGAATGGATGTGTGGTCAGAGATTTGAAAAGGGGTTTGATAAAACCATCTGAAGGTCAATATATGTGACTCACAGTTGAAGCCACAAGATTTGTTGAGGTTTAAATGAGAATAGATAGAGGTACCGCAGCATAAAGACTGAATATCATATTGAAAGAGTGGGAAGTAAGGGGAGGGACTGAGGGAAGAAGAGGAGGAGGAACCTTGGAGACCCAGAGGACAGCTGGCCACAGAGGTTAAAGGGAAGGTTTCAGAAAGAGTAGATCTTAGCAGAGTCAAAAAGAAAGAAACTAAGACAAATTAAAATTAAAATCACCATCTAGATTTGATAATGAGGGATGATGGTAACTTTATAGTATTCAAAAAAATCTCTTATAAGCTTATTTGTATATTATTGAAATGATGAACAGTTTGATTTAGATATGCTTAATCACATGTATATTATAGCTGGAATTCTGAGTTGCACATTATACACTGTACTGGTTGAGATTGCATGCTCTGGGGCTATAGTTTTGCTTTTGAAGCTCTGCTCCACTACCTAATAATCATGTATCATTGGGTTACTCCTTAACCTCTATGAGCCTGTGTTTCCTTATCTAAACAATCTGGCTGGTAATAATACCTGATACATGGGACTGTAGTGTAGCAGTACTTAATCTGTATTTAATCTGAGGATTAAAGGAGTTCACACATGTAAAGGACCTAGAACAATGCATGAAAGGCTTTAAGTGTATGACAGTGCTAATTGTTTTCATTCCTATTTTAATTATTTTTTTAATAAAAGGAATATAACAAGTTAGATGTATTTGATGACAGAGATGTTTGCAAATGAATAATTTAAATAAAAATTTGGTTAGAGTTGCTATATATCCCAGGAAAAATATTTTCTGATTTTCTATTATATATAGTATTACGTTCTGACCCTGAGGTATATGTAGTGTTGGAATTGTCAACTTCAAAAATTACTTTTTGATTTAAATATACTCATATAAAACAAGTGTATATATATATATATATATATATATATATGTATATATTTACCATATCAGCTCTAGAAATGTATTTATTAAAGTATCCAGGCTTAGAACTCTCAAGAAGCTATTAGGAAGAACATAAATTTAGGACATTTAGGCTCTAAAGCTGACATGCTGGGAAACTACAGAATCTGAAGTTTCCATACATCTTTTCCATCATAGATTAAATATGCTTTATTCTTAAGATCAAATATATAAGGGCATGACTGCTAACAGTCGAAGGCAAAAACACTCTTTCAAAATTTATGTTTAGAGGTATTTGCTATATTTGCACTGCTTTCCCTAAACCAATCTTAAGATTTAGTAATGTGAAATCCTCAAAGCACATTTTAATTTAGTAATGACAGCTGGATTTAACATACTATGCACATTTATCTTGTATATTCAGGTGTACACAGACTATCTAATGTATTTATTATAATTGTATGGTTTAACAAAAACATTCAATAAGAATTTTAGACTTTGAATCTAACCACATTCTGTACTTTTTGTTCTGTTTCACAAGGAATTCCACTATTCTGGTGAAACAGTCCAGAGAAAAATAGCTACACTCAATTCTGAACTATTAAAATGGAATTTGGAAATTAGGGGAAAGCCAAGATGCAAAACCATATTTCAAGCTATTATATAAACAGTTCAAAATTTAGAAATGTCCCATCTACAAAATGACTATAGTAATTAATACTCCTGAATTTATGATAATTCTGAACAGAAAGGCAAAGGCATCAGACTGTTATTAAACCATCATTTTTCACTTTCAAAATCAGCTGATGTGGTGCATTAGTAGTTCCAGTGAATGTCTGAAAATGCATGGCCAAGAGTAATGATTTAATGAGGTCTTTTGAAAAGTCTATTTATTTATTTAGTACACCAAATATGCAGTATCAGCAATGCTACAAGAAACAAATATATTTCAGCTGTAGCACAGTGGAAATAATGCTGTTTAAAAACATTCTACTCTCCTGAGGAACCACAGAGACAAAAATACGTGGAAGGAATTCTAAAAGTAAATAGCTATAAATTGTAAATGCATTTTATAATCTTAAGTAGTAGTTTCAAAAGCAAGTATGGTACCATGGAATAAAGCTTGAGTGTCCTGGCCCATTACAAGTATAATAATTCATTGATTCAAGGAAACAAGAGACAGACAATCATGTGTTTCTGAGAGATGTCTATCTTGATCCAACATATGTTTCAAATGATATTTAAAGTATGCTCAATATGTACATATTGCTTTCAGATTCCTTTACCGGGCATTATTCTTCAGTGACCTACTACAGGTTTTCTAACATACTAATATTTTATGTTTGATTTAGTAATTAGGGAAAAGTATATAAACTACATAATATGTGGACATAATTTGCTGATGACCTATATAATCTTAGTGTTTTAAAGAATTCTATTAATGTTTCAAAATCAACCTACAAGATAGCTACATGACAATTTAATGCTGGCCACAAAGAAAAAGAATCTCCTTGCATTTCAATATTGATTCCTATTCAAAACTAGATGAAGAAAGACAGAACCATGATTTGGTAAGAAAGAAATCATTTCAAACACGTACATACATATTTTCAAATTTAACCTAGAGGTAAGGAACTAGAACAGAATAGAAGATAAAAGGTTCATCTAAAAACATTAATAATAATTTATTGTAAACCACTCAAAAAAGGAAACAGCCAATAATTCTGAACGTCCTAGGAAGCCTAGGTAGCCATTCCGATTGGCATACAGCCAAATAAATGTTGGTTTCTCGTGTCAGGAGGGGACATAGTCTGTAGTTATTAAAAGATCACTAAAAAATTTAAGAAGAAACATATTCAAGAAGGAAATGGATCTCATAAGCTTAGTCTTTTAAAAATAATAGTGCCAAAGCACTTCTACAAAAATGTCCTCCTTTCCTTTAAAGTTCCAGGTGAAACTACTTCCTTCCTTCCAGCCCATACGGTCTTTTTCCCCATCTGCCTCCACTCTCCCCACCCCCACAGACAGGTCCCATTATAAAATGCTCGGTGGTCATTTCTACCACTCCTCCCGTGAATTGCAAACAATCTTCCTTCCTTTCCCCTAGACTGTTTTACTCCTTTGTGCCTCTTTAACTTCCCACTGTCTCACCTTAAATGCACTTCTTGCATATACTAGATGTCACCACCTTACATTGAATACTTAAAAAAAAAAAACCACAAACCTAGAATGTCTAAGTGATAACATTGGCATAGTTACAGTTTTTTTAACTTGAAAAGGGAAACTCAATAGAAATAAAACAAAGCACACTAAAATCGTGTTGATGTAAATACCTAGACATAAAGACCTTCCCAGCCTTCTTCAAATTTCATACTAAATATAAACACATCTCAAAAAATAAACTTGAAGACAATGCAAGTGTACACAGGTGCACATGCACACACACACATGCACAGAAAAGTCATGGAGAGAAAAATAAACATACAGGCAGCATTGCATTTGTATTAACCCTTCTTTGTCATATTTTAAAAAGAAAAAAGTAGAGAGGAAAGTAAAATTATAACATAATTTGCATAATATTATTATAAGGGTTGAATGTTGGCATTTCTTTCAAATAAACACTGAATAATAATTATAAATATATAATTATATAATTATTATATATTTTATATTATAATTATATTATATATACAATATTATATATTATATTACTATATAATATATAGTAATTAAGTGTTACTATAATTACTATATAAGATATATAAATATAATATATAAGATACATAATATATAATAATACACAATACATAATATATAAATAATACATGTATTATATATAAATAATATATATTATATGTAATATATAATATATAATATGTACTATATATTTATAATAATATATAATTTATATTTATATTAAATATATAAACATATATTAATAATTAATATTAATATATTAATAATATATTTATATATAATTTATTTCTGTATATTATACATTTATACATTTATATATTATAGATAATATTTATAATATTTAATATATTATATATCACATATAATATATTATATTATACATACTACTACTACTACTAATAAAGCTGAACTCCAAATAATAATTCTTAAGAGAGTACTGCATTTCACTAGAATATGTATATTATAATTAACATGATTATTAATTCCTGCCTTGAATAAATCACTTGAAATAAATGAGCTTTACTTGTTCTGTTCCTACAGAGAGTATCATAAACTTTCATTATCTTTTATTTAGCAAAAAGCTAAAAACCAAAAAAAAGCTCATGCAATTACTATAAGCTCATGCAAATGATACATCAAATAGTTGTAATTGTAGCAACTCTCTACTTGATGTATCATTTGCGTGAGCTTATAGTAATTGCATGAGCTTTTTTTTGGTTTTTAGCTTTTTGCTAAATAAAAGATAATAAAAGTTTATGAATTAAGCTATCCAAATATATATGACCAATGATGAGATTTAAGAAAATCTCAGTAGCATTTACTAAATTATAGCTTATGATATGTCATATCTATCAATAATAATACAAATATTTCTGCATACAGCTCTTGTAATGGTAGATAAAGTTTGGAATAAACTTTTCTCTACATAAAATTGACTAGAAAGTACTAAACATAAAACACCAAATCTTTTTCAATAGAAAACTACAATTACTTAAATGTACTTGCTTTATTTTGTTTCCTTTTCCTTAGTTACATTTTGGCAAAATGTATAAATGACTAATGGATGAAGCACAAGCTGGAATCAAGATTGCTGGGAGAAATATCAATAACCTCAGATATGCAGATGACACCACCCTCATGGTAGACAGTGAAGAAGAACTAAAGAGCTTCTTAATGAAACTGAAAAAGGGGAGTGAAAAATTTGGCTTAAAACGCAACATTCAGAAAATTAAGATCATGGCATCCAGTCCCATCATTTCATGTCAAATAGATGGGAAAACAGTGGAAACAGTGGCAGACTATTTTTTGGGCTCCAAAATCACTGCAGATGATGACTGCAACCATGAAATTAAAAGACGCTTACTCCTTGGAAGGAAAGTTATGACCAACCTAGACAGCATATTAAAAAGTAGAGACATTACTTTGTCAACAAATGTCCATTTAGACAAGGCTGTGGTTTTTCCAGTAGTCATGTATGGATGAGAGTTGGACTATAAAGAAAGCTGAGCACCAAAGAATTGATGCCTTTGAACTGTGGTGTTGGAGAAGACTCTTGAGAGTACCTTGGACTGCAACGAGATCCAACCAATCCATCCTAAAGGAAATTAGCTCTGAATATTCATTGGAAGGACTGATGCTGAAGCTGAAACTCCAGTACTTTGGCCACCTGTGATGCGAAGAGCTGACTCATTTGAAAAGACCTGGATGCTGGGAAAGGTTGAAGGCACGAGGAGAAGGGGACAACAGAGGAAGAGATGGTTGAATGGCATCACTGACTCAATGGACATGAGTTTGAGTAAACTCCAGGAGTTGGTGGTAGACAGGGAGGCTTGGCGTGCTGCAGTATATGGAGTTGCAGAGTTGGACACAACTGAGTTATTGAACTAAACTGACTGATAAATGACTAAGTCATTACATTCTGTACTGGCCATTAAAATTAGTCAATTATTGAATTATTTACCTTTTTTAAGTTAAATAAGCCAAAAATCAAGTTTTCATATCCTTCTGGAGCTTAAATGAGGGTAAAGAAATTAAATTATCTGTTTGGGGCTTAGCAAAAAGGGAAATGGGCTATTAGTGTATGGAACATTATTTCTCTTTCCAAAATTCTAGAAATTAACTAAAACCTTTACCTAGCAAGGAGACGAACACAAGTGATGTTATTTTTTTAATGGGAAAACTATAAATTACAAATTATATAAGTTGTCATGCTGTTTGAAGCATGACAATTGCTTTAGTTAAACTTAATACATAAACATGGAAGACAGAAATCTAAATTGTGCCCCCCAAAATCAATTTACTGCTAGGAAACGAATTTCTGTTTATTAATGGAATTCAAAATTCATTGGTTTCCTAGATAATTTCCTTAAAATAATAAGGCTATTACTAAATTATACACTTTATGTTTGCATATATGTGTATATGTGGGGCTTCCCAGGTGGCGTTAGTGGTAAAGAACCCACCTGCCAACGCAGGAGACATAAGAGATGTGGATTCAATCCCTGGGTAGAGACGATCCCCTGGAAGGGGGCATGGCAACCCACTCCAGTATTCTTGCCTAGAGAATCCCCATGGACAGAGGAGCCTGCAGGCTACAGTCCATAGGGTCGCACAGAGTTAGACATGACTGAAGAGATTTAGCATGCACACATGCATATATGCAAGTTAAATGAAAAGTTTCAAAGTTGTCTTATATATTTTTTATTTTCTTTTTAAAAAATTTTTTTTATTTTCAATAATTTTCTTTTTGCAAATACAAATAAAAGTAAATTTTTAGCTACATATGCTATAAGATAGCAAATGGGAGTGGTGGGGCATTAAAAATAAGATATTTCTGTAAATATTTTTTATCCTTTGAGAAATTAAAATAATTTGGCTAATGAATCTAAGATGCACCAGCAATCAACTGAGTTGTGAACTGTTGATCAAAAGAAAATTGCCTCTAGACAGTCTCTATGTTAGCATTCCTATGTCACATTTCAAGAATTAATGTTCTTTGAAAACGAGCACTCAGTGCTTAGCCTTAGTTATTAGTTAATAAATGTTGTCAACATATAGTAGAAATTTGACAGATCACTGGAATATTATATTTCAAAAAGTCAGACAAGGTCTGAGCTACCTCATCAGCATCCATGGCTGTCAGCTGCATAATCTTAGAACCATCTCCTATATTCTCCTCCACTGTGAGATCCAGCATGTCTGTTGGGAACACTGGTGGATTGTCATTGATATCTTGAAGTGTTATTTCTACCTACAAGAAAGAGAAAGAAACAATATATGAACGCTGTGTATGTCTGCAAGATACCAGTTAAATTGTATACCAAGAATCCACTTAAATAAGCCTTCCAAAAAGAATCAGAACCTTTATATATAACATCCCAGAAAATACACTAGAGAAAGTTGTGAATTATTTATAGGAAAAGAAAAGCCAAGTAAGATCATTTGACTTATTGATGGTAACTGATTTTAAATGATCACCTAGGAGTTTAGAATAGAATAGGTCCACGGATCAACTGTCATCTAAAACCCCAGATTTGTGCACCAGTTAAGAATTGTTCAGATTAGCACTGTCTGTCTTTCAGCCATTAAGTGCTGCCTAACACACAGATGACATGGTATAAAATTTCTTCCTGAAACGTTTACATATTGGCAACTAATGTCCAGGGAAAAAAAGAAGTTCACGTTTTGTTTTAAGAAACATTCAGCATTTTTCCCTTTAAAGCCAACTCTCAATCTTTGGGGGAAGAAAACTATACATATATTTTCTTTCTATCTTCACTCCCATCAATACTTCTTAATGTGACTAAAGCTAAAAATCATCCTGTTCATCCATGGTATTCAGATAGGTTGCAAATACTAACTATCCTTGAAAGATCCTCATCAGAAGTCAGAATTATTTGTTTCCCTACCTAAGAAAGGGCTTCCCTAATAGCTCAGTTGGTAAAGAATCCTCCAGCAATGCAAGAGACCCCAGTTTGATTCCTGGGTCATGAAGATCTGCTGGAGAAGGGATAGGCTACCCACTCCGGTATTTTTGGGCTTCCCTTGTGACTCAGCTGGTAAAGAATCTGCCTGCAACATGGGAGACCTGGGTTTGATCCCTGGGTTGGGAAGATCCCCTGGAGAAGGGAAAGGCTACCCACTCTAGTATTCTTGCCTGGAGAATTCAATGAACTGTATAGTTCATGGGGTTGCAGAATCAGGCACGACTGAGTGACTTTCAAAAAAAAAAACAAACCTAAGAAAAATTGTTTAGAAAGAACAATCTGTGAATATTAAATAATAACTTCAAACCATGTGTTTTCTCTTTTGAGTTAGGTGCTAAAAGTTGAATATCTGATAAGAAAAAGGTAGACAACTGCTAATAAAACTGAAAATTTCCCCAGTTGGATCACAAAATTAAGTCATCGAGGAAAGTCCATCCACTTATTTAGCTTGGATGTAACCACGACATTTTTCTTCTAGGATGAAATGTCATCTTTTATAGTTATACTGTAAAAACTCCATCAGATCAAGAGTGATGAGAGTGAATATTAGGAGACAGCAAAATAACTCTAGTTTTTTCTTTTCTAGGAAGAGGAAAGGGTAGAAGGAGAGGTAGTAAATAGGATTGTCAGTATTCTCTGGCAAAGAATGAGTGGGAAATACAGGAGAGCCAGACAAATAAATGGATGAGCAATTGATAAAAAGAAAAATCCAGAAAACAATATACAGAATTTAGTACTAAGTCATTATTGTAGTTCCACCACTCAACAGGACAGTTTTGATGGTAGCTAATGACTGACCTGAACTGAACTGAATGTCTCAAATTGGTCTAGGAAATGGTTAGGGCAGCCTTAGTAGTTAGAAATCTGCTATTTTGCTTTTGGTTAACACCATTCTCTACACCACTGCCTTTAAATAGAGATTGAGACTGTTAAAACTGCAGCTTGTAAGGAGCATTCCTGACTTCCTAACAAAGTTGTAAATAACATGAGTTTTTTAATTAGAACAACCAGAGTTCAGATTCTTTCTCTGCACTCATTAACTGGAGAAATTTGAGCACTTAATTTCTCTGAGACTCACTCTCCTTATCTTAAAATTGGGATAATAATGTATCTTAGAGCATTTTATGAAGACTAAACCCTGATGATGCTAGCAAAATGCTTATCACAGGGGTAACTTTCAATGAAAAGTAGATCTTGGTTTTTAAACTGTCAGAACAGAACTGGGCATTCCTTAGAGCCAGGGAGAGACTGTATTTGTGATAGAATATGACTCCTGAGAGTCCCTTGGACTGCAAGGAGATCAAATCAGTCAAGCCGAGAGGAAATCAATCCTGAATATCATTGGAGGGACTGACTGATACTGAGGCTGAAGCTCCAAATCTTTGACGACCTGATGCGAAAAACTGATTCAGAAAAGACCCTGATGCTGGGAAAGGTTGAAGGCAGGAAGAGAAGGGGACGGCAGAAGATGAGATGGTTACGTGACATCAGTGACTCAATGGACATGTGTTTCAGCCAGCTCCAGGAGATGGTGAAAGACAGTGAGGGCCTGGTGTGCTGCAGTCCATGGGGTCACAAAGAGTCAGACACGACTGAGAGACTGAACAACAACTTATTTCTAGTGCATGGTACAGGTCCTGATATATCTTTGATGTCATGTTTAATTGGTGCCATTCTGGATTCTCTTTACCCTCAATTTAGTGTTCTTCTCTACACATACACACACACACACACACACACACACACACACAATCACATATAATTACATACACACACTCATACATGCATCTGTTGTTATTCAGTCGCTCAATAGTGACCAATCTTTCCTAGCATCAGGGTCTCTTTCCTAGAATCAGTTCTTCCCATCAGGTGGTCAAACTATTGGTGCTTCAGTTTCAGCCCTTGTCCTTCCAATGAATATTCAGGATTGGTTTCCTTTAGGATTGACTGGTTTGATCTCCTTGTAGTCCAAGGGACTCTCAAGTGTCTTCTCTAATAGCACAGTTCAAAAGCATCAATTCTTCAGCTCTCAGTTTTCTTTATGGTCCAACTGTCATATCCATACATGACTACTGGAAAAACCATACCTTTAACTATACGAACCTTTGTTGGCAAAGTTATGTGTCTGCTTTTTAATATGTTGTCTAGGTTTGTCATAGCTTTTCTTCCAAGGAGCAAGTGTCTTTTAATTTCATGGCTGCAGTCACCATCTTAAGTGATTTTGGAGCCCCCCAAAATAAAGTCTGTTACTGTTACTATTGTTTTCCCATCTATTTGCCATGAAGTGATGGGACTGGATGCCATGATCTTAGTTTTCTGAATGTAGAGTTAAAAAAAAAAAAGAATGTTGAGTTTTAAGCCAGCTTATTCACTCTCCTCTTGCACCTTCAACAAAAGGCTCTTTAGTTACTCTTCCCTTTCTGCCATAAGGGTGGTGTCATCTGCATATCTGAGGTTATTGATATTTCTCCTGCCAATCTTGATTCCAGCTTGTGCTTCATCCAGCCTGGCATTTTACAGGATGTACTATGCATATAAGTTAAATAAGCAAGGTGACAATATACACTCTTGATGTACTCCTTTTCCAATTTGGAACTTGTCCTTGTTCCATGTCCTGTTTTAACCATTGGTTCTTGACCTGTACACAGGTTTCTCAGAAGGCAAGTAAGGTAGCCTGGTACTCCTATCTCTTTAAGAATCTTCCACAGTTTGTTGTGATCCATACAGTCAAAGCCTTTATCATGGTCAGTGAAGCAGAAATAGATACTCCTGCTTTTCCTATGATTCAATGTATGTTGGCAATTTGGTCTCTGGTTCCTCTGCCTTTTCTAAATCCAGTTTGTTAGGTATAGTAGATTCTAGCGTAGAAACATGTTACATATAGTAGATTCTTCATTATGGATGATGAGTGAATGAATTGAAAAAGACCCTTCTATATTTAAATAGTTATAACTAACACGAACATGCCAAACCCTGTTTTAAGTTATATGTATGTGCACATTCATATACATCAGTTCAGTTCAGTTCAGTTCAGTCGCTCAGTCGTGTCCGACTGTTTGTGACCCCATGAATCACAGCACGCCAGGCCTCCCTGTCCATCACCAACTCATACACACACATAAAAGCATAAAAAATCCTTAAAAGATCCCTATGAGGCAAGTACTATTATCTTCCCATTAGAGAAATGAGTTAACCCATGTACATAGATTAAGTAATTACCCAATAACAGAGAGTTAATAAGTCAGTAGTAAGTTTCCTTTACTACAATGCAAACCTGTCTATCTCTCTCTCTATATAAGCACACCCCTCTCTCTCTTTAGGCATGTGTGTTCAATAAACATAATGAATCATATTTGAACAGTATGTCACAGCTTTATAAATATATTTTTATAAATGTGCATATTATTCCTGTCTGGAATTTGGATCACTTACATATGAACTAACTAGCCATATAATCTTGGGTCAGTCTATAAATCTTTGTCAGAATTAAAAATAAATCAGCTAGGTGATCCTTAGATTTAGCTCCAGAAATCTGTAACCATGTATGCTCTATGAGATTTTGGCCAACTCCATCATTTCAGGTACAAAAGATTGTTTCTGTCTTTATTAGCAAGAATAAATTTAGTTAAATATTAATAGACTCAAAACTAAACATTTAATCTACCAGTTATAGACACAGATCTAGAACATTTCATCATTGGATTTTGATATACATAACAGTTATATTTTTGATTAAAGATACCAGAGGTCATCCATTTAATAGGTTAGGCTATGCTTTTTCCAAAATCAGTATCAGCTTGCTAATCAAAAAACTGTAACTTTGTATTCTTCTTCAAAGAAAAATCTAGATATTTTCTCTAACTTTCCAGTCTCTGTGCTCCACTTCACAATTCTTCAAGTATTCCTCAAAAACTTTTAGCATCACTTCTCTAGATTCCCTCATTAGCCTGGAGTATGAATAACCAAGAGGAGGAGACCTGAACTCATTGGTGTAGCAGGTTTCATCTGGCAATCCCTTCACTTCTGAATCAGTGTGTAAGTTCTTTGGTTTCTACTACCAAGAGTTCCAAGATCGTGAACACTGTTTGCCTATGAAGTGGTCACTGATTCCCATATTTATTCCTTTAATCTTTTAGACTCTATCACATAAAAGGTATATGTTAGTCACTATAAATACAGTAAATATATAAGAAAATAAGACAGGCCACCATCTCTTGTGGGGAAGAAATGAAGTCTGACCATGGAAATATATACAAACAGAAAC